GGTGCACACCTGAAATTCCAGCAACTCACAATTTCAAGGCCAACCTGGGCAACTTATTGAGACCCTGTCTCAGAATTTTTAAAAGTGGGAGGGGGTACTAGGGATGTAGCTCAGTGATAGAGCATTTGTCCATATGCCCAAGGCCCTGGGTTCGATTATTTTTTGCAGCCAATAAAATAAGTAAATGATAAAAACACCTGTTCTGCCTCAGGTGGCAAAAATCAGCTTCGTATCCTTGGAGTTCTGAGTGTATCATTAGGAGTTGACTATGGAGCCAGCCTCACCAAGGGCATTACATGTCTATTATCTTATTGGATGCTTACCACAATTTAGGAGGTAAATCTGACTACCCACTTTTCTAGTCAATGCAACTGTGACTAGAGGAATGAAGGGAAATGGTCCCTGTCACGCTGGGCTCAGGTTTTATTCTCCCTACACTCTCCTTGTGCATTCTGAATTCCAAGCCTTAGTATGTGTTAATCCCTGTACTAGCCTTAAGAAAAGGGGGACAGTAAAACACAAGTCCCTGAATACCCTCTTTCTGTTTCCAAAAACCTGGCCAAATTAAAGGAACAATGAGAGCAAGCCTGGGCTGAAATGCCCACATACATATTACCTTGAAGGACTCTGGCTTTCTCTTATATGCACTGGGAACTGGGACAAGTTAGTGTTATCTGTAGAAAGGTACTTTCTTGCAGGATCAGCAGTTGCCCTTGGGATGCCGGTTACGCAAGCAAACTAAGCAAGTTTCATGCTGATGATGTCACTGCTTCTGCAGCCTAACAGATCAAACCCCTCTGTCAGTGGTGACTGGAGTAGAACTGAAGGCACTGTAGAAAGAATATGTGTCACCTACGCAGCCAGCTTCCTCTGGACAAAACGCTGGGAAGTAGAGGAGTCTTTGCTTGTTGAAGCATCTCAAGGGATGGAGGAGATATTAGTTCAGCCTATTGCCACTGAACTCTTCTTGGAACATCACTGATCTCTTGTAAGCTTTCTCCAATAAATGAAATATCTCGCATTATGATCAGGTTACATCCCAATAAACTCATCAGAAATAGAAAATATCATAAGCCAAAAAATGTGGTAATATGCCTAAACTAGAAAACATCACAGCTTCGTGTAGCTTACCTTAAACATGCTCATAATTCTTACATTAGCATGCAATTGGGTACAGTCACCTTACCAAAAACCTGTGTTGTAGGGCTAGGGATATAGTTCAGTTGCTAGAGTGCTTGCTTTGTATGCACGAGGCTGTGGGTTCAATCCCCCCCCCCAAAAAAAAAACACCACACCTGTTGTAATAGGCTCTTGCTTGTTTCCTTTTATTTCTTGAATACTGTGTGGATGCTGCAGAGTGTCCATTGTTTACCCCCATGATCATGGGGCTGGCTGGGAGCTGTGGCCTGCTGCTTCTGCCCTGCATCATGGGGTGCTGCATTTCACTCTTTTGGGAAGAGATAAAAATTCAAAGTTTAATTTTTAATGAGTGCATACTGCCTTCACACCATTGTAAAGTTGATAAATGGTAAGTTGAACCCTCATGAATCAGGGACCATCTGTATATTGATTTTGAAATCATGTGTGAATAGCACAGTTAAGTAGTATTATATTGTGTGTCAAAATGTGTTAATTTTTTAAATGTAAATATTTAAATATTTTATAGAGGTCTGGGGATGTGGCTCAAGCAGTAGCACGCTTGCCTGGCATGTGTGGGGCACTGGGTTCGATCCTCAGCACCACATAAAAATAAAATAAAGATGTTGTGTCCACTGAAAACTAAAAAATAAACGCTCTCGCTCTCTCTCTCTCTCTCTCTCTCTCTCTCTCTCACACGTGCACATGTTTCTCCATCATTATGTCATTTCCTTGGAGCCATAATCCTTTCCTTCCCACCCTCCAGCCGACCTTCTGGAATGGACTCTGCCTGTTGGCTGAGGGCAGCCTCCCACCCCGAGAGCCGCAG